ACACACACACACACACACACACACACACACACACACACACACACACAGAGGATTGCTGACGGTTGCTCTTGCTGTACAGATTTGCCAGTTTTTTCACTCCTTAAGTTGTATTTCTGTTACCTGTCACAGTGATAGGCACTTAATAATGAAACATATAGGGGGTGTGTGGGCGAACGCGAGAGAGAGAGAAAGGTGGAGAGACGAGGGGGCAAACGCAGATGTTCCTGACTCCAGGAAATGTCGCAGACAGCTGGTCTGTAATAACAAAACTAACTGAGCAACACTCCCGAGCAGCTGTGCGTGTGAGCTGGCGGGGTGCAGCCCTACTTTACGGGATCCTCCTCAGTTACTTACAGTCCTTCCACTGCTTTGGAAAGTTTGGAGTTCTCAGAGTGTTATTGATTGCCTACAAGCCAAGTGGACAACCCCATCGGGACTGTGTGTTCTTGTCTTGTATATTATGCAAGATAAGAATTTGAAAAAGTGTTTACAATTTACATTTTGAATGAAAATATCTTCCTCGAGAGGAGGACCAGCGTGTTTATGTTTTACTTTCTGTTATTTTATGATCTTGACTGAACATGCTTTGTTGCTAATGAATATATATATATACAGTATATACATGGAAGACATTGTGTGTGTGCGTTGATTTGTTTCGTAAAGTGTGTGTGTGTAGTAAACGTCGCACATGTCGAGCTACATACCAGAAATATGCTGCATTGCAAATGCAACTGCTGCAGAAAGCATATCAGATGTTATTATGAAACTGTTTACGTGTGTGTGCGTGTGTGTGTGGTGTGTGTGTGCGTTTTGTGCTGAACTGTCCCATTCCCAGAAGTGTGCATCCCCCTGGGGTTCCACCTGAGTGTGTGCCTCTCCAGAGGAGCATTTCTCATGATCACAGTGTGTGAGATAATTAGCCAGTTTAGTGGGGAAGTCCACCGAGAGACGGGGACACACACGGCCAGTGGCTGCAGCTCCACACCGAGAGGAATTTCCCAGGAACAGGACTCGGTGTTCAGATCGCTACATCCAGAAACCAGGAGAGCAAAGTCGTACTTTTGCTTTTACAATCTGCTCAACATACAACACCTTCTATCCTGAGATATTCGTGTCACGTTCACATACCTCCTGGACAAACACGTTTTTCCCATTTCAAGGGAGGCTAGAAATTATTTCACCAGACAACAAAAACATCTGTTCAATTTCAATTCAGAACGTCTGATTCAGTATATCGCCTCTATAGCATGTGACATACAGTCCAACGGTCACATCTGGACAGATGTCATCCTCGACTGTAACTGCCATCCGGAAATGTTTGAAGACGTAAAACACATTTTGTGCTACTTCTCACTAAATTAATTAATCTATGAATATGCAAATATTGCACATTCATAAAGTTCACCTGCTGGACACAACTTATCTCCTGCTTCAGTGGAAACTCCATTCTTGGTGTATGTGAGCTGCAGGCTTCAAGTGTCCGCATTATGCTCGTGTAGGGTAAATTGCATATTGGACAATTTTTCTGGAGGCGGGCCTTTAAGAAACGGGCACTAAAACACATTTATAGGCAGTAGTAGTAGTCGTAATAGTCTGACCACAAATCATCACCACATACAGAAAAAAAGCCTTTTCATATCTTTCCATCCATGGGAGAGCAGAAACACCAACACAGTATCAACGATATACTGTCGGCGTGATGACTTACGCTGAACAGTTGTGGCGTGCAAAGAGGATCTTATAAACATTAAAACTCATTGTGTTACTGTTGTTGCATATATATATATATATGCCAATTCATCCAGGTCTTTGCTGAATGTAATCATCCCACCATTCTTGAGACCTTCATCCTTTTGTTTTCCTTTTTGCCTAAGACTCCCAGAAGCATGGAGCTGAGAGAGCAGCAGCAGCAAGATGGCTATCATACATAGATAATGGTCTACAGCGGTCTACAGAGCTGAATCCCCTCAGACCGTATAAGATCTCACGCGTAAGATGGACAGGTGGAGCGTTTAGAGAGGCAGGAAAGCGGTCATCAATACTGAAAATACCAACACTTGTGTTGTGCCTTCCCAAGTTTGTTTGAGGAGGACAACAAATCGTTACTGTTTCAGAGAGAGGTCACGGTCATCAACAATGGCGTCCGATCGTTTGAATTTTAGAATTTTTCCATGCATCCTCCACATTTCTGTTGTCTTCACTCGCAGATTAAAGTGATTCTGATTCTGAACCGCAGATGGTCATCACAGCCTGCAGATTAAACTGCGGTCTGAAGCAAAGTCTTCCTCATATATCTGACGTGTTGAGGGGAAAGTTGTTGCAAACTAACTCCTGCCTGCCGGTCAGGAGGTTGAGAGAAAGATTCGCCACAGAACTGTGATGGCGAAGGCGGAGACATTTCCTCTCTCTTGTGATCTCGGGGTAGGAGAGACAGATTCAAGTCAGTTTCATCACAGATGAAAAACATGATGATCGGATGATCGGTGGTTCGATCCCGCGCTTTGATTGGACAGGAACACTAGAAAGGCCGTACATAAACAAAGTCCGTTTGCTATTTACCGTATATAGCAGCGGGTTCATATACAGCCCACACTGCGTTCCTCTTAAACGAACAAACACAAGAGAGGCAGAGACACAGAAATCCCCACATTAGAAGCAACTTGTAACCTGTGAAATCAAGAAAAAGCCTCGAGCGTCCTCTCCGAAGTGGAAGCTTTTGACGGGTGATGATAACAGAGAGCGGGGGGCCGACACACCCGACTGACTGCTGCTCCGCCCATTAGCAGTAAAGGAGACGTGGCTCTGCAATCCGCGACCCCGAGCACACGGCAGGGCCAGAGAACAAACAGACGTCTGGCCGAGGCGCTCGGCGGGCCGCAGCAAGCCTGCTGAATAAAAGATGCGCAGGGCTCCCGCCACAATAGGACTAATGCGCAATCAAGCGGAGCGCTCCTCGCAAACAGCACACACCTTGCGGCACTCACACCACTGTGAAATTGGGGCTCTTCGGAATCTCGTCTTCCGTATCTTTTCTTCTTCTGATTTCACTCCATCCCTCCCAGCTCCTGCTTCCCGTGCCTTTGTTCTTTTTTGTTTTTGTGCCCCTTAACTGTCTTTCATCTCCTTTCGCTCATAAAACATATCCTTGTATTTGTTGATTCCTCTCCTCTATGAAGTATTGATTTGGTTCTTTTTTTTTTTTTCTTTGTTGCATCTTTCTTTCAAACTCCCGCAAACCCTCTGCTCATTTATGCAACCTTCATTCATCCTGTTTTTCTCCACACTCGCTTTACCTTTGAAATCTTCCTCCCTCCTTACCCCTTCATCATCCTCCTCATTGTCTTCCTCACATTTCTCCATTTATTTCTACCCCCCCATCTTATCAATCTTTCATTGCCGTTCAATTCAAGTCGGCGCAGTGCTGCGCTGTTGTGCTACGGCGGTCCAAGCCACCAATCACGCATGTTGTTAAGGCCAGCCACTAAACGCCATACATATCAATGGAAACATGCATAAAAAGAGTTTTTACGCACGCACGCACGCACGCACACACACACACCTGGACATATGCAGGAAGACGTCACAGCAAGTTGAGGTTCAAGGTTTCTCATTATACAACTACAAGATCGAAAACCAGGGGAAGGAGACGAAATGTCTTTGTGCCTTGCTACACTAACAATAGCATGCATTCACGCCACACACACACACACACACGCACACACACACACACACACTTGAGTTAATCACGCAGTGAGGCCATACATTGTTGATGCACTGGCTAGGGAGCAGGCAGGCGGCTGACTGAGTTAATTAACAAGTGCTAATCAAAAACAATCTTCTTTCATTTTCTAATCGTTCATAGCTCATTTATCATGTTGCCCTCCTTCGGCTAACAGAGGCCTTTGTGTACGTGTATTGAGAAGGGGGGGGGATGAGGCAGATCAGGCCAACTCACTGCTGTTACTTGGGACAAACAGGTTTTCATTCAAAAGCACGTGAGGCAACACATGTGGAATCACTATTCTCCTCGCTCTGATGGCTCCAATCAGGGAGCTTCTGCTCCGGCTCATCATCTGAGTGGAGAACAGCGCGATCTCTCTCTCTCTCACACACACACACACACACACACACACACACAGACACACACACACACACACCTGTGCACAAAGAACACAGCGTAGCTATTCCACACCTGTATACAGCTCTCCTGAGTTGACTGAGGCGGCATTGAAAGGTTATGACGAGTAAAGCGAGAGAACAAATCTCTTGATAAGGAATCTCAAGAACGCCAAGAAATATGCATCAGATCCTCTTCTGAGTGAACTATTCAATAGATTAAATGTACAGGATTTTAACTATGTTCATGTTTTAATTGAATATTTCATCCACACACAGTAATAAGAGCCGTGTATGTATAAAAACATACCCAGAACGAACGAACGAACACACACACACACACACACACACACACACACACACCTACCTATCATTTGGAAACCATCTGGCTGTTTGTGTGTTTGCTCTACTTTCATTTGGAGGGTGCTCTTTGAGCTCTGTTTTTGGAAGAGTCCAGAACCAATCAGAGCGAACCACGGCCAGCTTCCAGCCCTGCATCACACAGAAGGGTGAAAAGCGGTCGCAACTACTTTTCTTCTGCCCCCAGAATTAGCTTTTTTTTCCCCACACACACACACCACACACCAGGTGAAATTATGCCCCAACCCCTTTAAATAGAAATCCAAAAGCTAGCTTTCGTCCTGGAAATGTAAAGGTGCAAAAATGTCACGGTTTTACTTGCTGACTGCTCGTCTTAACACAGCGTCTCATTGGCTTCAAAGCAATCAGCTGAATGACCGCGATATAGAATGTAAGTGTAAAATCAGACATTGGCAGATGGTGAGGAATACTAATGGACAAACATTTCCTGTTTACCAGCCCTTCATAGTAGCAAGACGAGACGTCGCAGGGCTGGTGACATAACGGTACCAAAAGACGGTCATGACTCACGCAGAACAGTAATGGTAAGAAAACATTAGCAGGGTGTTATTACACCCTTTATCTGATTTTGTTCATGATAACGTGGGCACAGTCAGTGTGACACACATTGAAGGTCTCCTTGTGACTTGACACTCTCCGTCATTTGAATATCATCATATTTCCACTGCCAATACAGCTCTTTTGAAGCTACGTGCTGGTAGCGTTTTAGCATCTTTCAGCTCTTTGTTTTGGTTTCTACGACCTACAGCTTTACTGTTTTGATTCACTCTCACCATTCTCATCACTATAAGCGGATGATGACTATACTTTTTTTCCACCTTTTCTTTATTTCTCATGTAGATTAGCATCTACTTTCCCTTTGTATATTTATCACATGAATATAAAGTAATGAAAAAGACAGATTCACTATTTACTGAATTGTATTGTGATTGATTTTGACATGATTTCCTCAGGAAGCCAGTGGCAAAGTACCATGCAGAGCAAAGTTTTAAAAAAAAGAATCATCGTAGTTTTCACATTTTTTTCTGTGCGCGGACTAGTTTATTACTTTAAGCAAATGATTTAAACACCATTTGTATGGGAATGATTCAGCCCAAAGCTTTTTGATTTATAAAAAGTGGTTGATAACTGTAACCAAGATCCTTATAAGCTCTACTTTATTTAAAATATATTTATCTTAAATGGATTACTGAGACCTCTGGCTATGAAAACACTTTTTTAAGCACATACTCGTCGCTTAAACAACGTCACAACTCCACCCAACACACACATACTCAAAGTTGTCAGTACACTACTATGTCCACCTCATTTCCGATTGTCTTACTGATGGACACTAGTGTTCCACAATGCAAACAGGAAATTGATAAGCAGCTCTGGTGGAGAAAAAAAATTAGAAATGTGAACAATGGTGACCAAAACTAAAGTTAAAGTAAACATCTAAAATGTTTGTAAATACATTTATCTTACTTAAGTATAAGGAGCATGTCCTCCATGTTTTAAAGGTCCCATTAGTAGAATATTTTCTCTTTAAAGAATCAACAGAGAATCAAAAAATGTGTTTGTCTGGTTCCCCAACACACACCTCTAATCGATGTTTCTGCAATGACCCAATTTAGCTGCCAGGATCAATAAAGTTCCTGTGACCCGGAGGATTAAACGCGATTATGTTCCACCGAGGTTATAATGACAGATTCAGCCTGCGATCAAAGCGCTGATCAAATCCGCGGGGCGATTGTTGACAAGTGCGTAATCCAAGAGAGCCCGTCACTGTGACCTGAGCAAGCTGCGACGCGTTCAACTCTTCTGACAAGACCATTTCGTAGCTTTTCTGCTTCATCACACACGTACCTAAACATATCTGTGGAATGGTTGGCTTCCATCTTCGAACATATGTTTTGAGCATGTGTTCTAAACTCTGTCCAAACGTTTCTAACCTGCTGCTGCCAACACATATGTGCTATCTTGAGGTAACCTGTGTTTTACCCCCGGCACGGTATGGTCCTTGGTGGTGATTACTTGTATTATGTGCGAGTCTCCATTTCCTCTCTTCTTGTCGACTATTCTTCCCTTCTGCATTTCTAATTTTTTTTCTCCAACAGAGCTGCTTATCAATTTCCTGTTTGCATTGTGGAACATAGTTTGTGGAACTAATGTCGACTATTCTTCCCTTCTGCAATGACCCAGTTTCCCCCCCGCAGGGATTAAGAAAGTTTCATTTTTATCATCGGCTCTAATCTGAAGTGCTCAGCATTTGTTTAGCCTTCGCACCCCGCAGCGTGACGCGAACCCTCGCTGAGGTTACCGAGCGCTGCTGCTGCTGCTGCTGCGTGCGACACTGAGTGATAAGATGGGGCGCTGCTCGTGTAGGGGAGGGGGCGGGCGATCAATATTCGAATTATGTGTCGTGGAATGATTTGATAAATATTTATAGGAAGTGTTGAGGGCTTAATCATGAATTGTAATATTCAAAATGAGCATACAAATTGGATTACAGTGTGCATGTGTCCCCTTGTCTGTATCATACATGCAGACACCGAGCGCACGTGTCACAGATTCATGTAGAGAATACAGACTCAAATACGCGCATGCAGAATCCAAACCGCACCTCTTCACTTCTCCAACACCTGCAGTGCGGAATCTCATTTCCCTAAATTAAACCTGTGGAAAAACTATCTTCATTCGGCACATATTTACTACCTTAATGGCTTAAGTTTTCCGCGGGCGAAGCTCAGAACTCAGAAAAATAAGCCATTTTGTTATGGTGGTCAAAACCTTTTTTTTTTTTTTTTAAATCACATTTCTAATAGAAAAATTGTTTTTTTCCCCTGCTGACTGTAAATTCACTTCACCTCAACATAATATGGAGTTATAGCAGATAACTAATTAGCACCTTAAAAACAAACAAACAAACAAATACAGAAACTTGCCAGATAACTCGTCTGATAACTTCACTGCATAAAATGATTCTATGATTAAAAAAAAAGTGAAAAGAAACACTGTGGGTGTGGGGGTGTTGTAATTGAATTTGGGTTTTATAAGTCGCAACGTGCCCAGCTCTATTCAACAAATAGGTAACAGTTAGTTCAGCAGCTTCAACAGAGTGATTATCGTTTGTTCTCCGAGCCCGGTGAAGTGAGGATTCTATTAAAAATTCCCATTATCTCGGCCTGCGTGCAGTAAGAAGATTGAGTTTCCGCTAAATTTTTGACCCGACTTCACCTGTTTCGCTGCCTGATCCGAGACGACCATCTTTCCACCTTTTGTCAGCGTGTCTTAAAAGATGTGTCACTGAAGGACGGGAGACAGAAATGTGTGTGAGCAGGTGCCTGCCGTCTGCTGACGTGTGCGTTTTGAGAAGGGGGCGAGAAGAAAACCTAATTATTGCTGCGATCAAAGCAATTATTAGAAAGAAGGCTGACCCAGAAACGTCTCAGCTGGAAAGCAAATCAGCTCAATCTGCTGCATCCTATTAAAAGAGTTATCAAGCATTCACAGAGCGTGCACACAATTCACACATTTACAGAACCAATCGCACACAAAACGAGAACTGGTTTACTTAAAACTCACATTTTTACTCACAAAGTCACTCAAAAAACATACGACAAGCACCGATTCAAAAGGACTCGCAACGAAGCACAGAGGCATTTATATTTAGTTATGCTTTAAATATTGCATGCACATTCATAACGTGCGCATAACCTCTTCACGTGTAGGCGACGTATTCCTAGACAGCTCAGGAAAAAAACAACTTTCACCAAAGCAAAAGCACTGCAGTATATGTGGGCTTCTGCATCGACAGTAGAGGATTTGTTATTCATATAGAAAGTACACTCCGTGCATATTAAAGTCTGTGATCCTTACTGTGCGGCCCCGATTCACACATGGAAAAAAAATAGTGCTGAGGAGTGCAGTGTTATACCAGAAAATGATATTTCAATTCTCCAAAGCATTTATACGATGGATTGATGCATCAGGCCTTTATTCTGTCAGATCTGCAGTTAAATTCAGGTTTCAATTCAGGCTCAGTAATGGTCTTCACTGAACTGGTGACTTTCTGTATCGTAAGCTTCAATACATGCTGTTCACTTTGGTTGAAGGTGGGTCTTTAATTGATATTTTCATTGGCTCAAACTGAATCTAAGAAGAGCTGCACTGTTAGTCAGCCAATCACAATGGCACAAAGTAGTGAATTGATGTGGCTTCTTTAGGATAGAGACAACGCTCGTGAGTTTATACAGCATGTTAAAACACCCATGTCTGTTATTTTCTATAAAAGCCCACACACTTGATCAATAATGGAAAGAAAAGGTGGCTCCAACATCAATAAATTAGTTAACAAACAGTAGTTGAATTCTTTTTCAACAAGAAAAGCCCAGAAAAATCCTACTGGAATGTTCAAGTGATCTCGTCTTTTGGGTAGATTTCTTTGTACCCGCGAGGAGCCAGTTTCTTATAAATCGGATGATTTCCGAACCTACTCTGGATAAAGGTAAAGCTCAGACAGTGAGCTTTCATCCCTTTCTTTGTGGACCTCTGAGAACCTTCATTGGGTTCAGTGACATACCGGTGTGACAGACACCTGTGAACAGACGTGTCCATCAGCGAGGCGTGAAGTGACAAATAGACCCTTTTACAGCCAACGTCACGGCGTTAGCTGTGGAGACAAAACAAAGGGAAGACTGGAGGCCAACATGAATCACCTTAGAGTAGTGGGGTAATACACATCGAACAAATACACCATCTTGCTGTGTTGTTGGGTGGCAGAATCAATATCGCATACGTTTGAGATGATAAGCTGTGATTCAAGGCTCTGGCGGCTACAATATCGGCAAAGCGTTTCAGAGATGGAGAGAAAATGTCGCTAATAGTTTAGCCTCCTGCTAACCTCCTCAGCCGCCATGGTCGCTGCACCGCGCAGGCTAAATTATTAGAGATGGAGAGAAATGTAGGCTAAACTATTAAAAAGACGGAGAGACTGCGCG